GAGAGAAGAAAACCTTTTTCTGCAGATTTAGGCATGTTTGGCTTGCCATATTGGCGCCAATATGCTTCCATAGTTCTTTACACACATCCGGAAAGGCCCGGGGGCGGGGCAAGATGATTTACGGGTTACAGCCAGTGAAAGCATGGCTGTAAAGTCTGAATCTGATTCTGTATGAGCACCACACCATTACAGTGGGAAGCTCAGCATCATCTTCATTTCCAGAGCGTAACAGCCCTCTCTCCGATGCAGCGATCGACATCTGATCCTCAACTGGAGCCCCGAATGAAATGCTAGGTCCATCATGAGAAGGACAAGCAATCCCATCCGGAAGCTGCCAGGCATGCGAGACAGTGAACTTGGCCGTCAAACTCGTCGGCACACGGCGCGCTGAACGCTCAAGCCCCTTATGAGAAAGGCAAGACGAAAAATGTGCCGACGTGGTAATGCTCTCATGAGAGAACATGAACCACCCACGAACGCAGTCTCAGCATCAGGGCCGGCTCTAGCCCTTTGGTTGCCCTAGGCGAGATTGAGTTTTGCGCCCCCCAAGTTTTAGTCTCTCCAAAACTTCAACAAGCAAATTATGACTTCAACTGTATAATAAATTGTTCATACAAATGCTACATAGAACGTTCAATGATATTTCTATCATCCTACATAGTTGCATTGTACAAATACATTTTGTCTGACCATGTAACTTGTAGTATATTACAATTACTACCACCACTACTATTATTACTAATCTATTAGTCTGCTACAAGGCTAAGGGGGTTTCGGGGGTATGCCCCCCGTAAGAAAATTTTGTGCATTTTAATGTTAAATTCATCAATCTGGTGCACTTTGAGAGTTCTAAATTAAAAGCTCCAACCCATATTCAGTGTGCAAATTGAACAAAGAAAAATTCAAACCTCTTTTAGTTACAGTGTCTGTCTACATTACACTACTACATAATAATAGTTATAATATTAATCCCATGACAGTAATAGCCATAAGCTATTGTAAAACAAATGCACTGAAAAATAAAGGAAACTTTCATAATTCATTTTGTTACTTGGAAGTAACCCAGCGCCGCCAATTAAACAAAACAAAACGAATGGGCCGATGTACGAGTTCTATGGGCCACTAAGACAAAATAAATAAATAATAAAAGTATGATGTATCGGCCCAAAAAGCAAGTGGAATCTCTACCATCCTGGGGGAAAAGAATTCGCTCCCGGTAGTCCCGATGGCCAGCATGCCTGTGCTGTGCACAATACTAAGTAAAAAAAAATCGTTTGACACCTAAATGGCTGAGATGAGAAGACTTACCTCTATACTGGGCTTTCTTTTTATCTTGTTGCTTTCACCGTTTTCGTCCCTGTGCATCAGAGGGTTTCGATCAACGCGCCAGCAGCTGAGCACTTGCCTAACGTAGCGTAACGTAACCCCCCGTTAGGAAATTATCGACAATAAACGTGTGGCTGAGGGGTTGCCTTAGGATGATCATGTTTAATAAACGTGTTTTCGTTTAGCTTGTCATTCTAATTCTGTGATTAATGGGAAGTAGGCCAAGGACGACATTAGAGGGCGCCCGCGCGCCACGCCCCCAACACATTTGTCGCCCTAGGCAACCGCCTAGTTCGCCTATAGCAATCGCCGGCCCTACTCAGCATGTTTGCGATGCGATAGAGGAGTGAGGGCCCCACAGGGATTGGTTACCGGGCGGGGAGGCCTTCACTGTTATCCTCAGGTCACCCTGGCTATTCGTCGAAGTAGCCCTTTTCTGGTGCACCAGAAGAAGAACTGGATCGGGCTAGATCGGGGCATAGGCGAGGGGATTCCACCTCATTTGAGGCACTTGAGTCTCAACCGCGCATCTAGAGCAGCTCGACGGCACACGACACACTGAGCGGCTCAAGCCTTTACGAGACAGGTGAGGCGAACAACGTGCCGATGTGGTAGTGCTCTTTTGAGAGAACTTGAACCACCCACGAACGCAGTCACAGCATGTTTAAGCCGAGGCATGTGAAACAGTGATCGTGGCCGTCAAATGAGGATAGGAAACGACCGCATCCAGAAACACACGGGCAGAATGACATCTTTAAAAAGACGCAACGTCACACCCATGTTTGCTCTTTTAGGGAATACTCTCTCTGGTGCTGAAGACCGCCGTGTACTCACACACTCTTTGAAGACGCAACCTCTCTCTCAGGCTTGTAACACAGCAACTCTTTGACAGCGCAACGATCTCGAAGAGCTGTGAAAACAGTTGTTTATGCAGCTCTCTGAAGTGCCGATCTCCACTGTGAGCGCTGCCACACCAACACCAACACCTACTCGAGAGGCTCCTTACAAAAAGTACAACAGACTCGTCTTGGTATACTCGTCGGGGAATTCGCAGAACAGAACATATGAACTGCTCGGCTCTGAAACGAACGGCAAATATGCGACGCACCTGCTGCTCATTGTATACCCTCGCTGCGAGGCAGAGCAGCTGGTACAATTATTGCATACCAATGTGCATTGGCTCGTTTAGTTTACACGTGAAGTGGATTGTTCTCCCTGGCGTAATCCCAATTTTGTCTGTCTAACCCGACGTGACGTTGGGAGTGACCGATTGAAGGGGAACACAGAAGATATCGTTTCTATCAAGCTGCAATTGTGTAAACTGTGATACATAAATGTGATAAACTGAGAATATTAACTTGATATTCTAAAACTTTCTTAATTACAATCTCAGCAGAACTGTTCCATATCTTGACTCAAGATGGCGCTGAGTATGGCTGCTGCGTTGCGAGCTCCGTCACAACATTGTAGTTTTTTGTTTGTTCTGTTTACAGCTCTTATGTTTTTTGTCTTGGATGTTGTCTGCCTTATTGTGTACGACAGACAAACACTTTTGGACATTGGTTCGGCAATCGAACACCGAAAACCGGACTTTCATTACTGTATGCGGCACTCAATGAGTGGACCTCCGCTTTTAATTCCGGGAGGGTGGAGGAGCATAACAAGCAAGTTATGCCCTCCGAAAAACTATCAGAGCAGCTAAACGCCAATACAGGGACAAGATTGAAGGACAGTTCAACACCACCGACTCTAGAAGCATGTGGAAGGGAATTAACATCATCATGGACTATAAAGGGAATACAAACTCCACAGTGAACAAGGCTGCCTCTCTCCCGGATGAGCTGAACACTTTTTATGCTCGTTTTGAGGGAACTAACACCCCCCTCAAGGAGAGAGTTCCCGCGGCTGAAGCTACAGAGGTTAGTACACTCTCCATCTCTGTAGCGGATGTAACCCGATCTTTCCGACGGGTGAACATCCGTAAAGCCGCTGGTCCAGACGACATTCCGGGCCGCGTCATCAGAGAGTGCGCGAACCAACTGGCTGGTGTTTTTACGGACATTTTCAACCTGTCCCTCTCCTTGTTTGTAGTCCCCACATGCTTCAAAACATCCACCATCGTACCTGTACCGAAGCAATCTAAGATCACCTGCTTAAATGACTGGCGTCCTGTTGCTCTGACCCCCATCATCAGCAAATGCTTTGAGAGACTAGTCAGAGATTACATCTGCTCTGTTCTACCTCCCTCACTGGACCCATTGCAGTTTTCATACCGCAATAACCGTTCCACTGACGATGCTATTGCATCTACAATACACACTGCTCTCTCCCACCTGGAAAAAAGGAACACATATGTGAGAATGCTATTTGTAGACTACAGCTCAGCATTCAACACCATAGTGTCCTCCGTGCTTGATGTGAAACTCTGGGCTCTGGGCTTAAACAGCTTGCTGTGCAGCTGGATCCTGGACTTCCTGTCAAACAGACGTCAGGTGGTTAGAATGGGCAGCAACATCTCCTCATCACTGACCCTCAACACTGGAGCCCCACAGGGCTGTGTTCTTAGCCCACTCTTGTACTCCTTGTACACAAATGACTGCGTGGCAACCCACAGCTCCAATACCATCACTAAGTTTGCTGATGATACGACGGTGGTAGGTCTGATCACCGACAACGATGAAACGGCCTACAGAGAGGAGGTGCTCACTCTGACAAACTGGTGTCAGGAGAACAACCTCTCCCTCAACATCAGCAAAACCAAGGAGATAGTGGTCGACTTCAGGAGGAATGACAGAGATCACAGCCCCATCACCATCAATGGAGCACCGGTGGAGAGAGTCAGCAGCTTCAAGTTCCTCGGTGTCCACATGGGGAACTCACATGGTCCGTCCACACTAAGGCCATCGTGAAGAAGGCTCATCAGCGCCTCTTCTTCCTGAGACGGCTGAGGAAGTTTGGGATGAACCGCCACATCCTCACACAGTTCTACACCAGCACTGTAGAGAGCATCCTGACTGGCTGCATCGCTGCCTGGTATGGCAACACCACCATCCGTCAACGCAAAGCCCTGCAAAGGGTGGTGCGCACTGCCAGCCGTATCGCCGGAGGTGAGCTTCCCTCCTGCCAGGATATATATGTCAGGCGGTGTGTGAAGAAAGCTTGGAGGATCATCAGAGACTCTAGCCACCCGAGCCATGGGCTGCTCTCACTGCTACCATCAGGCAGGCGGTACCGCAGCATCAGGACACACACCAGCCGACTCCATGACAGCTTCTTCCCCCAAGCAATTAGATTTCTAAACTCTTGATCCTTCATGAGCAAAACCATAAACAGTCTAATTGTCAACACAGCACAACATAACCTCTGTATATTACATACATATTTTCTTTTATTATCACATGTGTATCTGTATGTATAAACACCTATATTGTATATTTTATTGTATATTGTACATTGTATATTATTTAATGTTTTGTTATTTAATAATTGTGCGCACATTAGATGTTTAAATTATGTAAATTGTGTAAATCTGATGTTTGCTGTAAATTGTTATACGTCCCATCGTGTCATGACTGCTATGTTGTCAGAACTGCACCCAAGAAATTCACCCAATGTTGCACTTGTGTATATGGTTGTGTGACAATAAAGGATTTGATTGATTTGATTTGATTCATGATTATGGGTGGAGCTATAGCATCACTGCAAGTGTGTAAAGACTTAAGTGAAAGTGAAGCTAAACATATGAACAGGAGGCTTCATCAAACATCATTTAATTTCAGAAACTCGGAAATCAACGACCAGATCTGATATTCACTCACAGGTAAGTGATGGAAATGTAAGAGCTAGTTCAGTAAATTAATCCAATTGTTGGTAAAAGTACTGTATGGCTTTTCTTTTTTGGATGTAAATCAAAGTTTGTTTATTTGTGGTCATGTCACACTTAAGCGACTTTAGAAACAGGAAGTACTTGAATTGGCGGCAGAATGAAAAAAATGAAAAATCAGAATGATGACTTTTCTAGTAAAAGTCACATGTCTATTAACCCTCTACAGCACAGTGTTTAAAGTTTTCTTAAACAGTTAAAGAACAGTCTAATAAGGTGTGGGAGTCGAGCACTATTTGAAAGCGGGGATTTCCTTTTCTGACACATAGTCACAGGAGCACATGGTGTGAGAAGAAAGTAAGATTATTTGCTTTAGTAATCTTATTTAAAATGACATGAACTGTACATAAAACATGTGTGTGTGAATGAAGGAGAAGGTTTTATGAAGTTTTATTACTTATTTTGCATGTTCAGTTCATTTAGTTTTTCCTTTCATTGCCTGAGGGCAACGTTGTCTTTGTCTTTGTTAAACAATGTGTATGGACGTTATCACATATTAGTGCACAATATAAACTCTAAATATAGTTGGTAGATTTCTTCACATATTTAAAAAATATTTGTGATTTTGTATTGCTCTCTGACCATTTTCTTGTAATATGTCAATTAATCATTAGGCAACGAAAAAATATTTGATCAATAAAATGTTCCCAAATGAACCAAGAAATGATGTGGAACACATTTTTATCATGTACCATCAAAATGTGTGCAGTAGAGGGTTATACAAAACTGACACGTGGTATTTACAGATGTTTATTTAGTGGGTTATGTGTTTGAAAAATACACTTTCACCCCTTTCTGTGTTGTCTTTTATTGTACTATGGCTCCCAGTGACACATTTAGTTTCTGTATTTAGATGATTCTTCTGCAGCCCAATAGATCTAACTACATTTATCTGAAGCACATGGTCTCAGACTGGCAGTTAGAGGCGGAGCTTATAGGCTCAGTGAGGTTAGAGTAAGTGATGGAGGGACTTCCTGTCAGAAACTGCTTTCTCATATACGCCAGTTTATGGCACGTATGGCTGCTTTGACTGCTTGACAGTGGTTCATAGTACAGATTTGAGTTATTATAATTTTTAACCATGTGTGGCACCCGATTGTACAACTGACTACGCCACCCCTTGGCCTAAACTAGTTAGTGCCAGTATTAGAGCAAGGGGAACTCTACCCCAATAAAATGTACAAACACAGGTTCTTAGAAAAGTATAAAAATACAATATTTGAGGAATTATTGAAGATGTTGGTTGGTCAAAAAAATAAAATAAATCAAACAAATAAACATAACTAGGGAATACCAAGCCATCCGCAAGGGAGCCAGTAAAGCAGTCGAGAAAACACTAAGGGAAGGCTAAGTTCGCACTACCACCGGTGAACAAAAAACACAGACTTCATTTGAAGTAATACACACTAGAGTTAAAGGTCTACGCACTGCACACTCACAGCACTCTAATAAATATGGTTAAAAGGCATTGAGGTTCACCATACACGGCACTGCAAACTTCTTCGTTTAACAAGAGAAAAAGAAGAAAAAGAAGAAAAAGGAAACCCGCTTTCCAGTGAGGTCTCTTATACAGGAGTTACCCTGGCTCCACTAACACCGGGGCTGGTTACAAACAAAAAGGGGAATTGGGCATAAATGAAACAATAAAATAAATAAACCCACTCTAGCCTGTGACACACAATTCATACAACCACATACAATAACAGCTACAGCCAACAGGCTAGAGGAAAACAAACCAACAAAAGGAAAGGAAAAAAAGAAATAATAACATAAACTACCTATAATATAAGCAGCATACACAATCACACAGTATGGAGAACAGCAGCTAGCAACTCAAGGGTAACTGCACAGATCTGAAAATACAATAACCACATCATTAAGAATATTTGTTTGATCAGGCTTTATTCAATACAAATCACGTTTTTAGATGCAGTCACATCTTCCAGGATAAAATGGCCATATAAAAAAAGGTGGTCAATCTCAAGATGTACGTCTTTGGATACAAACAAAATACACACACAGTAGTTAGAACAGCAAGGGAAAAGAAATACAGGCAGAACTTAATTCAAGACATACCTGTCGTAACATTCACAGTGAAAAAGGGGAAGACTAGTTGAATGTAAACATCCCACTGCAGTCAGTCTCCAGCCGATGCTTATTAAACGCGGACGTAGTTTGGCATTACTTTGCTCGCTCGCCCATACATGGTCAGACAGGAAGACAATGGCGCGCCGCGGCTCAATCAGCGTCGGCTCCTTCACGCACTATTAAAACAAACACTCACTTGGCAATCTAACCCACAGTGAAAAACGACAGAAGAAAAACGCTTTTAAACATACCTCAATGTCCCAGTTTAAGGACACCAGGTGTTTATATAGAAGCCTGCCTCAATCGCGTTTGATGGCTTATTAAATGCCCGCTCCACCCACCAATTAGTGACGCGATTAAACATGAAAATGAAAGAGTCAGAACGAGCGTAAACTGAAGGAACCCAATCCTAACCAGGCCCACAGGCTACACATGCAACATAGATTTTAGAACACAAACTAATTTACTCAGTGAACATTAATTGTATTATGAAAGTAGCTCTCTTCAGCAATGTAGAAGATATATTAACATTACTTATCTTTTCAGCCATGGCATCCTCCAGTGGCCCATCACTAAATGAGGAGCTCCAGTGCTCCATCTGTATGGAAGTGTTCACTGATCCAGTCACCACTGCATGTGGACACAACTTCTGCCAAACCTGTCTGAGCAAGAGCTGGCCGAACTCACGGACCTGCTTCTGTCCACTCTGTAAAGAAAAATTCAGCAGACGACCTAAGCTCAAGATCAATACAACACTCAGAGAAGTTGTGCAACACTTTAAGGAGAAGCTCAATCTAGGAGAAACTGAGGTGTTCTGTGACTTCTGTGATGAAAGAAAGCAGAAAGCTGTGAAGACCTGCCTGACGTGTCAAAGCTCTTACTGTGAGACTCATCTGGAGCCTCATCTCAGTCTCCCATGTCTAAATGAACACACACTGATCAATGCTGTGGAAAATCTGGAGGATTATATATGCCAGAAACACGAGAGACCTCTGGAGCTGTTCTGTAGAGATGATCAGACGTGTGTTTGTCTGTCCTGCACTGAAGGAGAACACAGGACTCACAACACTGTTCCTATAGAGGAGGAGAGTCGAGAGAAGAAGGTGAGAGTTACAAATAAAGCACTTTAAACACCACATGAAATTCAGTTCCCTATCAGTCAGTCACGTTCGACATTACATCGGACTGAACTGACATATTTTAGCCCAATCACCATCCAGTAGTAACAGAACAAGCCAATGCACATTGGCGAAAGAGATTTGCATGACAAGCCACTTCCAGCTTCCAGTTATATAAGGCAGCGTGCAAACTCACACATTAAGCTTTTGCTTCGGAGCAGAGCAGATGTTGTTACACAGTTGTTCCTTTGTTGGTGTGACTCTCCTGCCGGGTGAATCCCCGCGGTCCCATGGGGGACCTGGCATCTCATTCGGTGCTCCTGCAGAGGACCGGATGTCGAGTGGAATCCTCCAACCATGTCCCGCGGTTGGATGACTGGGAACGTCGAACGTGACTGACTGCTAGAAAACTAATTAAGGTTACTTATGTAACCTAGTCGCCTGTACACAACGCCTGTACCTCCGCTGAAACAGCCGGGACCCTGTCTCTGCCCCTCAGCAGAAAACTTAATGTCAGAGTTTTACCCAGGAGCGGGGAGTGGCTTACAATGCAAATCTCACATTGACTTATTTTTTCTGTTCTTTTAGCACTCAAAGGTGATTGGGATCTAATGCAAGATCGCAATACATCAGTTCAGTTCAATGTAACGTCTCCGTTCCTTCCTTCAGGGAATGGGGGTTACATTAGTAACCTAGACATTTTCTTTACTGTGTATTGACATGTTGAAGAACCGTTCATTACATCTGATAAAAGCTGATTTTGTCACTCTCAAAACAGTCAGACATGGACAAAAAGATTCAAACTACAATTTTGAATTTATCTTTTGAATTTAAAAAAGAAATAAGACTGTAAGAAGATGGGAAGCTATATTCAGTGATAAATGTGTCTGTTTTTCTCTGTGTGTAGAATCAGCTGGTTCAGACACAGACAGACATTCATCAGATGATCCAGGACAGAAAGAAGAAGATTCAAGAGATCCAGCACTCAGTAGAGCTGAGAAAGGTTTGTGCTTCGATCAACCCGAGTTCATACCCTGACTCATGGTCGTTTCCGATCCCCCTCTCCCATTTCACTTTCTGTTCACTCTCTAACTATCCTAGCAAAAAAATACATAAAAAAATATGCATCATAATAGTTCAATCTATTTAATAAAAGCATTGAATTAAATTGTGAGTTCTGACATCATCTAGTAACCCTCATGTTGCTCCAAACACATATGATTTTTTCCCAGAGAGCACAAATCTGTTGGAAGGAGTTATATTGGAGTGCTTCAACAGCTGGTCCTCAAGAGCAGCATGCATTTTTTTTTGTTTCACTGAAAATCACACATTTTAAGTGACATAAGGTTAATTAAAGATGATAGAATTTTCATTTCGGGGTGAACTATCCCAGTAAATAATATGTGAATATGGAATAGAAAAACAAAGATAACTTTTCTCATCATCAGAGAAACACAGAGAAAGCGGAATCCTCCAGTGTTGAGATCTTCACTGATCTGATTCGCTCCATTGAGAGATGTCAGTCTGATCTGATGAAGATGATGGAGGAACAGCAGAAAGCAGCAGAGAAACAGGCTGAAGATCTCATTAAAGAGATACATCAGGAAATCACTGAGCTGAAGAGGAGAAACACTGAGCTGGAGCAGCTCTCACACACTGACGATCATCTCCATGTCATACAGGTCTGTTAACAATATTATGGGACAAACATGTCCATGTTTGGTCCAACAATGTTCTTTAACACTCTCAGAACTCCCTCACTCAATTAATCTTTGCTGGCATGTTGAAAATCAGAATTGTTTACAGCAGACTCAAAACTGTTGAATTCAGATTCAGTTAGAATTTGTGACAACGACATATGTTGTAGAGACGCATTTTGCTCTTCTCAATTCAGAAAAATGTGTACTGCTTTGGATGCGCCTAGCTTAGTGAACTCTCTACATTGTTCGGTTCCGGCTGTAGTAGAGCCCGTGCAGCAGGGCAAAGGGGTGACGGTGAGGCGCTGTAGTCGCGGGACAAAACACCGCTCTTCTGTTCCGATTACAACTTCAAATAGATTCTCCCCTCTCAGTGAAACACCCACTGTGAAGCCTGTTGAATGTGCCCTAGTTATTGCAGATTCTATTACATGAAACGTGAAAACACCAGCCACCAGTCACATGTTTGCCTGGAGCCAGAGCGCCTGACATCAAAGCTAATTTAAAAGTGCTGGCTAATGCTAATCGTAAATTCTCTAAGATTATTATTCACGTCGGCACTAAGGATGTTCGACTCCGCCAGTCGGAGATCACCAAAATGAATGTTAAAGAGGTGTGTGAACTCGCAAGAACGATGTCAGGCACTGTAATTTGCTATGGCCCCCTTCCTGTTCGCAGGAGTGATTAGATACTTAGTAGATTGTCCTCACTCAATGGCTGGCTGTCTAATTGGTGTCCGCAAAATAATATAGAATTTATAGACAATTGGAAAAGTTTTTGGGGCAAGCCTGACCTGTTGAAAAGAGATGGTATTCATCCCTCCTGGGATGGTGCTGCTCTTCTCTCTAGTAATATGGCACATAGTCTTAGAGCTCAAACACGAACTGGGGCTCAGGTCAGGAAACAGACAGACTGGCTAAACCGACCGTCTGCTAGCGGCCTAGCGTCACCAAGGTCAGATAAATTCCATCACATAGAGCCTCTTTCACCTAGATATCATCATATAGAGACGGTGTCTGTTCCCCGAATTAGGAACACAGAAAACTTCCAAACCCATCTAAGGTTAAAAATGTAATTGATGTTCAACAAATAAGAAAACAGATATAATACAAATAAGCAAATGATAAAGCTTGGGTTGCTGAATGTTCGATCCCTTACTTCATAAGCACTTATTGTTAATGATATGATTACAGACTATAACCTAGATGTGCTGTGTTTGACAGAAACCTGGCTAAAACCAAACGATTATATTTCTTTAAATAAGTCCAACCCCCCATTACTGTTATAAACATGAACCTCATCTGAAAGGCAAAGGGGGAGGTCTTGCTGTAATTTATAGTAATACTTTCAAAATTACTAAGAAGTCTAGTTTCAAATATAATTATTTTTAAGTGTTGGTGCTTAACCCTTTCACGCGTACGATCACACCGGTGTGATCAGTCTTGGCTGGTCCCTGGAGCGTACGATCACACCGGTGTGATTAGAACGGTCAGTGCATCACGTGATCAACTGCTAAATTCAAACGTGCTTTCGCGCGTTGGCTGGCGCTGAGCCAGAGACGGACGCACTCAGTGCTGTCATATATCACAACTATTCAGTGTTTTCAACCACATAATGTTTATTTTAGGTTTCAGACATTTAAATACACATACGTACTAGCAAAACAATGATTTTGAGTTTGTAAAATACACACTCATGTCTATGGAAGCGGCAATAATAATCCTTTCTATTATAATATTCAGATACACATTGTGAAAGTAGCTTTACATTTGACCCTATTCTTCTCCCAGTTCACCGGCCACTCATGTATTTCGTGAAAAGTGGAGGAATTGACGTGTTGTAATCCAACAGATCCGATTCTCTGAACTGTAAAACAAACTAAAATGGCGCCGCCTATTGTGCATACAGCTCAACTAACGCGATCGTTATAAAGATGTTTAAACAACAAAACCCATCCACTTGCACATATTTGACAATCGGAATATCAGTGTTTCATGCTATAGCTAATACATTTGTGAATATTTTTAATAAAAAAGGAAAAATGACATAAAAGCAGATCAACACTCATTCAGCGCTGTGTTGTGGTTGTGCTGTGTCACGTGACAAGCAATGACGCGTCACCATGGAAACATTAAAGTGACAAGTTCTAAATAACGGTCGCCTTGAAAAACTCACGCTGGGGGGTCAGTTAGAATATTTTAAACATACGTGTGAAAGGGTTAATGTAACAACATATAGTGTAAAATGATTAATCACGTTTGAGAATTCTGCTGGCTACTATATACAGGCCACCCGGGCACCATACAGACTTTATCAAAGAATTTGCTGACTTTCTATCAGAGTTAGTACTGGCTGCAGATAAAGTACTCATTATTGGTGATTTTAATTAGGGGTGCTCCGATCAGGATTTTTGGGGCCGATCACCGATCGCCGATTACTGGAAGCTGTATCACCCGATACCGATACCGATCACCGATTACAGGGTCTATTTGAAAACTTATTTTTATCATGTAGCATTACTTATTAAACTATATTTAACAACAATGTACATTAAGTATTACATTTAAGAGAAGACAATGCATAATGAATTGACACCTGTGTATTTTTTTGCAAGCAACATGTATTAACATAGCAGCTTGGTTATTGGGAGCAGCTTAGGGCTTGACATACAACTTTCCTGTAGAATATAAAATAAAATTAATAAAAGACAGAACATCTGAGTCTTTAAATTTAGCTTTAGACTACTTAAACTAAAAACAGCAACAAAAAAGGCTATAGCCAAAATAATGTTTTGAGTCAGTCAGCCATCAGTTTTTCTAATACACTTAAAGGACCACAGGTAGTAAAGTGCACAGCAAAAAAAAAAAAAAAAAAACTAACAACTTCCATATCTGTATCTATAACTTTGCTTTTTTCTGGGATGCTTAGTCAGATTTTGTGGGCATTTAGAGAGGAAGAGAGAGGTAGAGAAACCTTTTGTGTGTGTGTGTGTGTGTGTGTGTGTGTGTGTGTGTGTGTGTGTGTGTGTGTGTGTGTGTGTGTGTGTGTGTGTGTGTGTGTGTGTGTGTGTGTGTGTGTGTGTGCTCTTGTTTTTGTGATATATGAGGACACAAATGTGTATAATGACATGCATATTACACTGGTATTACAACTTACACGTGATATATGAGGACATTGCATGAGTCCTCATATTTCAAATAGCTTAAAAAACATAAAAAACAATGGGGTTTTTTAAATGTAAAAATGCAGCATGTCTCCTGTGATGGGTAGGTTTAGGGATAGGGGCAGTGTAGGGGAATAGAATATACAGTTTGTCCAGTATAAAAGTCATTACGCCTATGGAATGTCCTCATATATCACAAAAACACAGCTGTGTGTGTGTGTGTGTGTGTGTGTGTGAAGAACCCTTGCAAAATTATTTTAAACAGATTAAGAAAGCCACCACTACTGGTCACATCTATGGTTAGATTGATTTTTTTTTAGATCCAGTGAGTCTGTCCCACCATGTACCTAATATAAATAAATAAAACATCTTCAGTTAACTAGCAGATCATTCATTTAGTTCGCTATTAAATAAGAAATCTAGCGCTAAAATGTGTTTTTGAACTCAAGCTGCGCGCTCGTTGCCGCGGCGATCAGTTGCATGGATACAGTGCTCTGTGTCTCGCGCAGTCTTCACTCGGACGCGCGCTTCAGTCTATCGCCGTTGCGGACTCTATTCATTCCGGTGTAATCACAAAATAAAACACAAACGTATCCTTGCTTGATATAACTGTAACCGCTGATGAACATATTCAGTTTTGATGGGGGGGTTGGATACGTTTTTGTCATTGGTTGTTGCGTTAAATCTTACCCAGATACAATAGTGCTATTTTCTGATTGGCTATTGTGTAGCTCGACGAACAACACCAGAGGAAACGCACTTGATTCATGCCAGTTCCACAGTGAGAGCGGCGCGGCCAGAGTTTTGGCCGCTGCGGCATATTAAATATAGTACAAATAGTTTTTCAGCGTGAGAAATACAATGTGTGGCGGGAGAGCGTGACAAAAGACCGAAATGAGTGACTGTCACGCTCAATGCTTGCAGCTTGACACTTGAGAGCCCTATTGTAGAATTGCCAGACCGGTGAAGCCATTTTTACCAGGGCGTAAAAAATTTGTCTCGCGAGTTTTGCGTCATCAGATCGGCTTTTCTGGATCGGCCTTTAAAGAGACCGCCGATCACACATCCCAAAGCAATTATCGGCCGATTATGATCGGTGACCGATCAATCGGAGCACCCTTAATTTTAATATAGATGTAGATAATGAAAAAGATGCATTGGGATTGGCATTTAAAGACATTCTTAACTCAATTTGGAGTTAGACAACACCTGTCAGGACCTACTCATTGTCGTAATCATACTCTAGATCTAATATTATCACATGGAATCAATGTTGATGCTGTTGAAATTCTGCAGCAGAGCGATGACGTCTAAGATCATTATCTAGTCTTGTGTGAACTTCATTTAACCAAGGCTGCAAAGGCCGACTCAGTGTTACAAATATGTTAGACCGATCACGTCTGCCACTAAAGATTGCTTTATTAATAATCTTCCTAATCAGTTTCATCATCTCAGCATCCCAGATAGCTTAGAAGAACTCGATATTGCGACAGAAACTTTCAACTCTCTTTTTTTCCAGCACTTTAGACACAGTTGCTCCGTTCTTAAAGAAGATTAAAGAAAATAGTCCAACGCCGTGGTACAAGAAGCACACTCAGGCCCTTAAGAGAGCAGCCAGAAAAATGGAGAGAAACTGGAAGAAAACCAAACTAGAGGTATTTTGCATTTCATGGAAGGAGAGCTCGATTGCTTACAGAGAGGCCTTAAAAGCTGCTAGATCTGCTTATTTTTCAACCCTATTAGAAGAAAATAAACAAAACCTGAAGTATTTATTTGAAACAGTTACTAAACTAACGAAAAATAAAGCTTTCAAGCCCAGAAG